CTATGAGCTGTGATGCCACAGCACTCTACCCAGGGAGACAGCTTGAGGCTCTGTCTCAAAAACAAACAAACAAAAAAACACAACATGATATGCTCGAATGGCACAAAATTCAAAAGGTTTAAAAGTATTCAAAATTAAGTGTCTTCTCCACTGTCACCTAGACACACTGGATCCTGACCTAGAAGCAACCATCTTTGTCAGTTTTATTTATTTATTTATTTTCTGAGACAGAGCCTCACTTTTGTCACCCTGGGTAGAATACTGTGGCATCATAGCTCACAGCAACCTCCCAACTCTTGGGCTCAAGCATTCTCCTTGCCTCAGCCTCCTAAGTAGCTGGGACTATAGACTGCCACAATGCCTGGCTATTTTTAGAAATGTAGTTTCACTCTCACTCAGGCTGGTCTTGAACTCTTGAGTTCAGGCAATCTACCCGCCTTAGTCTCCCAGAGTGCTGAGATTACAGGTGTCAGTTTCTTTTAAAACTAAACAGCACTGGGCGTGGTACTTGTAATCCTAGCACTCTGGGAGGCAGAGGCAGTGGATCACCTGAGTTCAGGAGTTTGAGACTAGCCTGAGCAAGAGTGAGACTCTGTCTCTACTAAAATTAGGAACATTGGCCAGACATTGTGGCAGGTTCCTATAGTCCCAACTACTTGGGAGGCTGAGGCAGGAGGATAGATTAAGCCCAAGAGTTTGAGGTTGCTGTGGGATATATGATGCCATGGTACTCTACCGGAGGCAACAGAGTGCAACTCTGTCTCAAAAAAATAAAACGAAAGAAAAGAAAAGAAAACAAAACAAAACTCAGTATCCCTGCAGAGATACTCTATCATTTTTAAGCAAACATATATATATATTTTTTCTTATTTATATAAATGGTAGCGCAGGATACACTTTCTCCTCCTATACAATTTTTCCCTCACTTAACGTCCTGGAAATTGCTTGATCATGCTTTTTTTTTTTTTTTTTGAGACAGAGCCTCAAGTTGTCCCCCTGGGTAGAGTGCCATGGCATTACAGCTCACAGCAACCTCCAACTCCTGGGCTCAAGCGAGTCTCCTGCCTCCGCCTCCCAAGTAGCTGGGACCACAGGTGCCCGCCACAATGCCCGGCTATTTTTTGGTTGCAGCCGTCATTGTTGTTTGGCGGGTCCAGGCTGGGGATTCGAACCTGCCACCTTAGGTGTATGTGGCTGGCGCCTTAGCCAGTTGAGCTATAGGCGCCGAGCCGCCTTTTGTTTTTAATAGCAATATGAATACACCATATTTATCTAGCCAATTATGGAACTTAAAAAAAATACAGCCTGCCACATCCTAGGCAGATGACACTTGGGTATATAGCCTGTGTTGAGAACCATAGTTTTATGCTGACAAAGTCTTACCTGTATCAGTAAATGACTGTATATCATATGTCAAGTCTATGTTGACGCTTTCTGCATTTTCTACTCTGCGAAAAATTATTCCAAGGAACCACATTGATACGTAATTGTTGCTATAAAGTAAAATTTAAGAGTTTTCATTAACTTTAAAATTTTACAGATGCTATTTCATAATCAAAACTTGGTCTTTGTGCTTCTATCTCATAAATATGAATGTCGGTGGTTTGGCCAAATTCTTAAAACTTATCTCCAAAACACTGGGAAATTATCCTGTGTCTTAAAGAGGATTAAGCAGCTTTGAATATGTCATACTGAATATATACTTAAGGATGTTCCAATTAATGGTGATGAAGTTTTTGCTGGGGTCTTTTGGGCTACCAAAGTAGTGTGTACTTATTTTGAAAGCATGGCCCACTCATATTCAAACATAATGTATCATGCTCCCACAAATGGCAGATAAACAATCCCACATTCTCAGGTAAAATAATTTTGCAAAAGAATTAAAAAAGACAACCTCACAAATGATCTGAAAAAAATCAAATAACATTACTTGAGAAATATAATATTATAAAACTGTTAACTTACTCTTTATGATGTTCCTTATTTCCTGGGAATGACTGGGGATTCACATGGGCAAGAGTAATAAATTCATTCCGTTCCAAGTTTCCAACAAGTACACGAATTTTAGATTCTACCAGTCCAACCCTAAAATAAACAATGGATAAGACTTTTCTTATGATCACATTAAATTTGAAAGCTACACTTAAGTAAACCAACAGCATTTTAGATATGAAGGTTTACATGTTAATTTCAGAAATTCAGTCCAATATATTAAGAACTGTTTAAAACACCATTCAGGTAGATAAGAAGTTACTTAATGGGTCAGGCACAGTGTCTCACGACTATAATCCTAGCACTCCGGGAGGCCCAGGTGGGTGGATCACCTGAGCTTAGGAGTTCAAGATCAACCTGAGTAACAGCAAGACCCTATCTCTACTAAAAATAGAGAAAAAAACCTAGCTGAGCCTGTAGTCCCAGGTACTTGGGAAGCTGAGACATGAGGGTGGCTCCTGTGGCTCAAAGGAGTAGGGTGCCGGCCCATATGCCAGAGATGGCAGGTTCAAACCCAGCCCTGGTCAAAAACTGCCAAAAAAAAAAAAGGTATTTAATGAATTTCTGTATTCCCACTTTTGTGATATTTAATCTATTTAATGCATTCCTAAATCTAAAAAGTCTGCTTTAGTTAAGACTACAAAATAGCCATAACTTGAGCCTCATGAACAAAAACTGGTGGTTAATCTGGTGCCGAATATTTTTTCCACCTTCAAATCTTATGTCTAAACTCTCAGTCTAAGATATGTTTAAATAATGTGAACAGGCTTGGTGCCTGTGGCTCAAGTGGCTAAGGCGCCAGTCACATACACCTAAGGTGGCAGGTTCGAATCCAGCCTGGGCCCACCAAACAACAGTGACGGCTGCAACCAAAAAATAGCCGGGCATTGTGGCAGGCGCCTGTGGTCCCAGCTACTTAGGAGGCGGAGGCAGGAGACTCGCTTGAGCCCAGGAGTTGGAGGTTTC